CTGAGGTTGTTAATTTCTGATAGATATATTGCCATCACCTTGAGGTATTTCCACTAGAAATATCCTGGCCTTCATCCTTCTGAATATAAAGTAGTCAAATGGGAGGAGTCCTACTTTGAAGATGATTTGAAGTCAATGTGGCTATAAAATACAGAAAAGGAGAGAGGACTGTGTAATACAAGAAGGTAATGACCTACAAAATATGTTGTAAATTCTCCTTCATAAAATTGAAGAAGAAGTGATAGAAAAATGCAATTTTGTTTCCAGTATGGTACTAGTTTTCGTATGTAGCAATAAGCTGGAACAAATAGGAAAAACTGCAGCAAAGTAGAGGAAGAGAAATTTGATAGGACATGTTTGGCTCCCAGATAGGATTCTTAATCCTTGCTTTAAAAGACTGATAAAAAATGGTTAGACTTGCTTATGGAGCAAAGGAATGGCAACCTCTTTCCACTTTGCTACCCACATTTTCCCATTACAGTCAAACCAACTGAAAGTTAACATTACAAAAGACCAATTCTAACTTAGTTGATCTATTTTACTAGGCTGACCACCAATTCTGTAGGACCTTATCATTTACATGTTGGGCAGAAATAAATTAATAATATTACTTTTTCCTGTGTACTTTTCCTAATATATACATTTTATATGCATGTTTTTCATAGTATGTAAGCATAGTGTAATGGCTTAAGCATATACATTTTTTTCAATATACTTAATGCTATGAATGCTATGTTTTCCTATCAGGCATTATATACATTTTTGTGCATTATATATATGTGTGTGTGTGGGGGGGTGTTTATACATGAATGCATACATACATACATACATACATACATACATACATACATACATACATACATACATATACACACACATATATTTGCACATAATCAGTATAGTTATCTTTCTAATGGAACAAAATTCTCCATCAACCAGTTATATTTAGTTGTTTCTCTTGAATAAAAGGGTTCCATAGAATACTTTTTACTCTGGCACTCCCATTTTCCTTATCAGTGTAACACTTGAGTAACAAAATAATCTCAAATGTCAATTCTTTAACTTTCCTCCTCCAAAATATACTTTCCGTAACAAAATTACCTCTCCAAAATATAGTTTCTGTAATAAAATTAGCTTCCTTTTATTTATCAATGAAAAGCATTGGATCTTTCAACTACAGTACATCTTCAAATTATATAGTGTTGATATAGAAAATTTTTTCCTCATACAAAATACCTCTTTTAGCAGTATACCCTGAAAAGCTTCTCTATGAATAATTTGGTTAGAGTTGGGCAGCATGAAAAGACTGTCAAATCAGCTCAGTAAATACATAACAGTTGCCAATCTGATTATTTTAATAGCAAATACTCAAAGGTTAACTGTGAGGGCCAAATTGTATAGCAGAGAAAAGATTTAGAAATAGCCAGAATACCCCAAAAGACAACCCCCAAACAATTGTACATTAAAGATTTTATAAAGTGGATTTTATAAAGAATGCTACATGGGCCATTGATAGGTGGGGAAAAATGAAACTGATTTTTGTCATTTATAACTCCTTCATAATTTAGCTAGATTGAATCAACAGTTTATTACTTCCCTAAAAAAGACACATTCTGGGGTGGAGAAAATTAATGAAGAAAATAAGAGAAGAAAAAGAGTCTATCATGGCACTTTGGGCATCTTTTAAAGCTTCTGATAACTCTTGACCATACAGCTTGTTTAGTGTACGATATAGTATAATGACCATGAGTTTGCAACATCTGACTATTAGAAGGAAATTTCCAATGGAATCCTAATATCCGTAGTGGTGCCCCAGTAACTTTTTCCAAAATTTCCAATCTATAAATCACCTACACATGGGCCCTGTCAAACAGTCAAACAATTGTTTATAACAGCCGACTTCCTTTAACAACTGCAAGAATGAATCCTGGGAGAAAGTCCTTATAAATGATGAAGATCATAACCATCCAAGACAAGTACCCTCACTACCATTTTCCCTTAAAGAGGAAGCAGAGATGAAAGAAAGGTGAGAAAATGCTTAATAATTGCTTATCAGATTCTTCCTTGGTTCACATTAAGAATTGCTCCAGAAAATTATGTTTCACGTGTCTTTGTTTGGTATGTAGTAAATTGCAAAGGGATTATTTTTTTATTTTGCTGGGATGCAGATTGTGATTTCCTGTTTTCAAAGCTAACAAAAGTCATCTAAATTAGTTTAAGAAGGAAAAATGAAAACTCAGCCTTCTTAAATAAAATCATTTGGCTATATATATAATGAGACAGTGATGAAAAGGAATGGAATCTCTGTTCTTTCAGAAGTGCTATACTCTAAGCCCCAAGATCCTTTATCAATGGACATGGTTGAAAGGGTGGTGGGAAGTGTAAATTATCCAAAGGGCTACAGGTTCCTTTTTTACTGTTTAAATAATATAATGTTTACTCATATGCAGTGGGTTTTTTTTGTAAAAATAAAAGGTGCCGGAACTCACACATGTCATACAACCCGCTTTGCCTACCCTACAAGGTTCCATCCCCAAAAGGTGCTGGAACTCCGTTCTGGGCGTTCTATGAGAAAAATAGCCCTGCTCATATAATAATAATAATAATAATAATTTAATTTATATACCGCCCTTCTCCCGTAGGACTCAGGGCGGTGCACAGCATATTAAAACAGATACAAACAAAATACATCAAAAAACAAAAAACCCCCATAAAACCAAATTAAAAGCCAAATATTGGAAGCTGTGTGTCAATTAAAATTTTCTTAAAATCATCCCTACCTAAAATC